AGGAGGAGGAGGAGGAGGAGGAGGAGGAGCTGGAGCTGGAGCAATCGGACGTTGTCCGTCGAGAAAAGGGCGGGGGCCTGGGGAGGGCCATCAAAATATTTACCAGCCGTGCCGAGGGGGGCGACATCCCTCGCACGCTGCGACAGGCCCTCCCCAGGACAATTTACTCTTCAACAGTGCTTGCACTGCGCCACGCGGCGCCGCCAGGAACAGCCCCAGGGGAAGCGCGGTTATCATCGCGCCATGCGCGGCCCAACGGCCCAGGGGTCCACGGGAAACTACGCCCGCGAGCGCGCCGAGAGCTCGCAGCAGGCCCAGCCTCAGCGCGCGCGGGAGGCGAGCTTCGCGGCGCGCAGGGCGGCGTCGTCGTCGTCGGAGTCGCACTCCCAAGGCGGCCTCTTCAGGGCCAGCTCGTTGCCGTCGCTCGAGGCCGACACGGCTTCCTCCTGCTCCTCGGTGGCGTTGCAGTGTGGGTCGCACTTGATGTACTTCTTCATCAGCTCGCCCGTGCTTTCGGAGTCGCCGAGGGCGTACCTGTCGTTGGCGTGGACCTCCGTCTTCATCAGGATGGGGTTGTCGATGCCCTCCTGCACCACGTCCCCGATCTTCTGCTTGTCGCCGTCCTTGGGGTGCGGCTCCTTGAGCTTGACCTCCGAGGGCGTCTCGCACTTCATCACCTGCTTCTCCTCGGGGCCATCGTGCAACAGGACCAGGACGTCCCCATCGTTCTTCTTCGTCAGGTGGTCCTGCTTCTCGGGGTCGTTCTTGGTCACTCCCTTGTAGAACCGAGTGTTCTTCAGGATCAGGACGTCCCCGTCGCTCATGGCCGCGATCCTCTCCTGCACCTCGTTGGTGGACTGGCAGCCTGGGTCGCACAAGATGTCATTCTTCATCTGCTCCTCATTCTTGTCGGGGTCGTGCAGGGACTTCCCTTTGTAGAAGCGAGTGTTCTCCTGGACCAGCACATCCCCGTCGCTCATGGCCGAGACCAGCTCCTTCGCCTCCTCGGTGGCCTCGCTGTCTGGGGCGTGGTCGCTGGCCTTCTTTATCCGCTTCCCCATCTGCTTCGCAACTGGCTGAAGCGAGATTGTCTCCTTGAGCTCCTCAGTGGCAGTGCAGATTGGGGCGCCCTTGATGTCCTTCTTCGCCCCCTTCACGCTCAGGGCGTTTGGCTGCTCCGACGCGTCCTCGGAGTGGGAGTCTCTGCTGCTCGGCACGTCGGTGGACGCCTCCTCGGTCCGCATGGCCCCGACCGCCGCCGCCGCCAGCGCAGCATCCCGGGCCACCTCCAGCGCGGGCGTCGCGGGCGGGGCCCTGCCATGGCGCCCTTGGCCTCCGCGCCGCCCGACCCGCCGCGCCGCCATGGCAGCAACAGGGAGGCCACAGCCATGGAGGCCGCGCGCCACCGCGCCTGCGCTGTGGGGCCAGGCGCCGGTGGCGGCCTCGGTCACTGCCTGGAGCCGCAGTTCCTCCTCGGCAGCCGCCTGCCGCGGGGCGAGGCCGTCGGCGCCGGCGCGCGCGCGCCCCGCTGCAGCGAGGAGGTGCGCCTCCACGGCGTCGCAGCTCGACGCGGCCGCCACGAGCGTGGCGCAGGCGGCCGTTGAGCCCTCGGCGCGGGCGCTCGCCGCCGCGGCCCTGCACGCGCCTGCCGCCGCGCGCGCCGCCGCCGCCGCCAGGTGCGTAGCCACCATCGCCTGGGCGGCCGCGGGGAGGGAAGCGCACCTCGCCCAGGCGCCCGAGCTAGCTTGAGCCAAAATGGCTACGGAGGAGGAGGAGGAGGAGGAGGAGGAGGAGGAGGAGGGGGGAGAGGGAGAAGGGGGGAGGAGGGGAGGAGGAGAGGAGGAGGAGGAGGAGGAGGAGGAGGAGGAGGAGGAGGAGGAGGCGGATGAGGAGGAGGAGCAGGAGCAGGAGCAGGGGGAACAAGAGGAGTAGGAGGAGGAGAGTAGGAGTAGGAGTAGGAGTAGGAGTAGGAGGAGGAGGAGGAGGAGGAGGAGGAGGAGGAGGAGGATAGCTAGGAGTATGAGTAGGAGTAGGAGTAGGAGAAGGAGGATGAGAAGGAGGAGGAGGAGGAGGGAAGGGTGGATGCAAGACAGGAGGGGCACCTGGTACCCCATGTTCTTGCCTCCTACGGCTGTTCCCTTCACTATACCCCTTCTCCTACCCCGCCCGTTCCGTTGACGCCCCTCCCCTCCTCGACTTCCCCCCCTCTCTCATATGCACCCGCCTCCCCTCCTCCCTACGCTCTCCCCGACGCGCCTCCCCTCCAACCCTCGCCCCTTTCCTTCCCCTGCCCTCCTAGCCCCATGCCCCAGCGCATCCCTCTCCACGTCTCCTCTGCTCGCTGGCCCCCCTCCCCTGGACTCTCTCCTTCCCCCTCTGGCTCCGCCTCTTGCTTACTGCCTGCCTGAAGGGCGTGGGTCCGCACTGAGGCACCCCCGACAACAGTTCGAGGGGAGGCCCATCAGATGCTTGCTGCCACTTGCCAACTGAGCTTTGATCACTCAGCCGCAGGCCGCGACGGGGCCTCGCCCCCCCCCCTCCCCTCCCCAGGAGTTGCCGATTAGGACGGGGGCTCCAGCTGGGGCTCGGGCTCGGGCCAAACCTTGATGTCCCTCGGGGGCCTCCCCGCCTCCAGATCTTGCAAAACTCGCCTTCCATGGTCTGGACTCCGCCTCGTGCAGACCCTGGACATCTCATGGAACGAGAGAGGAGCAGTGTCTCCTCTCGGCTTCCGTCTTACGAGCATCCGCACTGCTGGCGCGATCGATCAAGGAATAAGTACTAGCATCGTGGTGCGAGACGGCGAGCGGATGTTCTTGGACCCGCTTGGCGAGGTCGTCCACTCGCAAGACTTCGGAGATAACCTCACTTGGGAGCTCGCCTGCAGCAGCTGCCGAGCCGGTCAATGTATCAGCAATGAGGATGGCAGCCGAATGGAAGAGCGCATCATAATCATTACCATGGGACATGATCTTGACAAATTCGCTCTTTCTCGCTTCTCCTCCTCCTCCTCCTCCGATGACGGTTGCAGGACTAGCTCGCAAGGCCATGCGGGGTAAGGCCACCACCGACCAGCACGACGGGACGGTTCGCAGTCTTACTAGATATGAAGCGCTACGTCAATGCCGCATACTACCTCTACATATGGAAGCGATCGTGCGACTCCTTACGTGGATCCGAAAAGTGCTGCTGAACCTCATGCGACACCAGCAGCTACTTACAGCCATATTATGGCAACTTGCTGTGGAATCCGAGCCGACGGTCTGCGACGACGGCACGCTCCACCCACGTTGTGAAGCATGGGCGGACACAATAATTAAAGACTCTGAGGAGGCTTGTCGCACGGATAATTTTAAATACCTGGACATCCAACCTGGTATGTTTTTTGAGCCCGACTTTCAGGACGACCTCATAGTCCTTGACTTAGGTCGGGCATGTCCCTCTACAGGCGGATTTTGGGCGAAGAATTAAACATATGAAGAACATGCCACACAATAGTCAAACATGGTAAAAGAAATCGTCACCCGACTATTTTTAATATTTTCGAGTATTCCTCCTGTAGAGGGACAGGCCCGACCTAATCCTTGACCCCAAGGAACTCCGACATGCCTGCCGAGCCCGCACCGTGCCACCCCCAGGACTCCCACGCCCAGGAACCCAAGCATCAGCGGCGGCCACTGTAGCAGAGCAGGAAGCAGTACTGCCCAATATTGCCCCTTGGAAGTGTGCAACTGCGGACGTGGTGCCGGCGACGGTGGAGCCCGAAGTACAGACGACACGTGGGTATGAGGAGGGACAGTAGTCGGCCGAGGGAATGACGTGTGGCGCGTGCTTCAGTACACGTGAAGCGCTGATGTCTCCCACATGCGTACCAAACATGAGCTTAGTAACGTGGCGTCCCTCCTCACCCCGACTAACGAGTGTATGAGTTGTGGCTTTGTGCTCGGAAAGAGAAGCACGGCAGCTCGACACTTGATGAGAGCGCCACTCGCAGGACGTCGCCCGGAGGACAGAACGTGCGCACGATGATACAGATCCAGCCATTCACCTCGACGTGGCAAGGCACACGACAGCACTGCGAACATCTCCGTAGCCATTCCCCCGGAGCTATTCTGCAGCCGGCCTCCCCGACGGACCCCCGCGCCCGACCGACAGGCGGAGCCGGCCCGGCGCGAGGGCGAGCCGCGCCACGCCCGAAGGAGCTGCGCGGGCGGCGGGCCCAGGGCAGACCGGGACGGGCGGCGGAGCAGGACGGCTTGAAGGAGATGGGCGGGCACGCGCCCCCTCGCGGCGGGCAAGGCGGGGGCCCCAGCGGCCAAGGAGAAGGAGCCCAAGGGCGAGGGCCAGGGCCGCGACAAGGACTGCGAGCGCCTCGGGGAGATCGTGGTCATGATGGGCAAAGCTCACGCCGAACGTGGCCAGGGACGTCAATGATCTGCAAGCGGTGGCACACGAGTGCTGGGAGCTCACCGCAGACAAACCCACGGCGGACTTCTCGATCCAGGCGAGCAGGCAGCACAACGAGGACGCGCAGACGCTGACGGAGCAGCACGCCAGCGATTCCAACGCAGACCTCGCAGCGCTGGGCCCGCCGCACCTCGTGATCATCGCAGCGGCGATCGAGAAGATGTGAGGCATCGCCCCGCCCGAAGACACGCAGATCCTGGCCGCATTATGGAAGAGCGTGGTCTGCCAGGAGGACCCCGGGCTGCTTGCAACGCGTGTGAGGCACCTCCGGGCGAAAGCGACCATGCAGCCCAAGAAAAAACCAAGAGAGCGTGCGACTGAAATTGCCGTTCGACTTGCACGTGCCCGACATCAGAGTCGCGCGAGAGATGCGGATCACGGACATCAGCACAAGGAGGGTGGCCAGCGCAGGCCGGGCGGGTCCCGCAGGGGCCCGATGCAGCGCGGGCTCACGGAGCCCGACACTCCGAAGAAGCGAGCGCAGACCAGGCCCTGGACCTGGGTGCCCAGGGAGGCGGGGCGCGCCTGTTGCGTGCGGTGAGCCCCACGGCGGAGCACGGCGAGAGCCGCATCAGTCATGGAAGTCGCGTGCGGCACGACCGTGGGCGGCGGCAAGACGGTGCACCGAATCTTGGCCTCCTCGAGAGCGTCACGAGCGCTGGCTGGAACGCGCAAGCAGTCGACCTCGGCCATCGTGCAGCCAAGGCGTCCAGCCCAGACAATGAAGAACGGCAGCACTTTGGCCTGGGCGCGGAAACAGGCGCGAGGCCGCACAGGAGCCCGAGAGAACGCGGCGGCCTCATTGGCCGTCCTGTCGGCGAGCGAGTTACCTTCACGTTGTCGCAAGGCTATCCGCCCTTGCCCCTTGCTCAAGGTGTGGGTTTTGAGCTTGAACAACCGAAGCGGCTCAACCCCGCCTCGATCATCGATGCCAGCCCACACCTGGGTCCAGGTCAGTCCACGCCGCCTTGGCAGATGTGCAATACGAACGCCCTCTCGTGAAAATACCGTCAACAGCGAACTGGGAATCAGTCCAACAGGTGGCATCAGGGAGGGCAGCTCGCAGCGCGCGAAATAAGGCCCAGAGCTCGGCAAAGTCAATGCCATGCAGCCCCGCTCTGATGCCTCCAGCAACGACACAGACAGGAACGTTCTGAGTCTCGCGCAAGCGAAAGAGTGGCCCATCCGATGCTCTGGGCCTGGGAGGGCAGCTCGCTGCCCAGTAGGCTGCCGTCAAGGCAAATGCCCCCCTCGAGGAACCCAGGGCCACCTTTCAGCCAGACCTCTTCAGGGACGCGGGGGGCCTCCTCCTCCTCCTCCTCCTCCTTCTTCTCCTCCTCCTCCTCCTCCTCCTGGAGGGACAGCTAGGGCGGCATCGCCGGCGCGGCAGCAAACTGCCAGGCTGGCCGCAGAGTCTGGCGGGGATGCGGTCCTCCTCCTCCTCCTCCTCCTGCTCCCTCTCCTTCTCCTCTTCCTCCTCCTCCTTCTCCTACTCCTCCTCCTCCTCCTCCTCCTCCTCCTCCTCCTCCTCCTCCTCCTCCTCCTCCTGGAGGAGGGGGGGCAAGCAGCGGCACCAGCAACCTCTCCGCGAGCAGACGGACGGAGGGGTGACCGAGGTCGCGGCCATGCCGGCAGCTGCCCCCTTAGGGCCTCGGCCTGGAAGACGGCCTCGTGCCCTGGGCAGGGCAAGGTGCCCGTGAGCGAACATGTGCCCAGATCATTCGGCGGTGGACAAACCTCCCTTTAGTAGACCTCCCCTTAGCGAAAACGGCCTGGGACCGAAACCGACGGACCAGGACCCGCAAAAATGACGGCCGCGACACCCTCTCGCGAACCGAAAACGGCCAATTCCTTAATCGACGTGTCAGGGTAGGATGTCTGTCCTCCCCCGAATCATGGCGAACCTGGCACTCTCTGATGTCAGGCAGCTGCTGCGCGGCTTGCTTGCCTGGCTTGAGGCCACTGCCCTCCAGAAACAGCAGCAACAGCATGACCCCTCTCGGCTCAGCCTGGGGGGCCGTCGGCAGTGGGTGCAGCCATTCCGATAGCTGGTCGACGCCAGGGCGGCGGCGTTTATGGAGGGGATTTTGAGCTCGCAGGGCAATTCAAGGCAGGGCACGGCAAGGCCTGAACAGGTTAAGTCATTTGCGAGTGTCTAGAGGGTCATCTGTTGGGCTCGGCTACCATGGCGGTATCACTTCACAATGGGTGGCGACGGAGACGGTGCATTGATACCACTGGGTCCCTGGGTTCTTCCTGTCATTGGCAATGGAATTCAGCAAGGCTCCCAAGGTCCCTGAGAAGCCAGTCCACAGACGGTCCAAGGTTGAGCAGGGGCCGACCACGACATGTTCTCAGAGTCCAACGATGTTGTAATAGTAATAAGCCGTGTTCTTAGAACATAGAGCCGATGTGTTACAAAAGACCCGCCCCAGCCAGAAGTGTTCTAAGAACATGCCGTGCAAACCACAAAAGGTCCCCAGAGCATGCCCTGGCGGCCCTACAGGCAAGCCAGGACGCCCCGCCACTGCTGGACAGGGGCGCTCCGGAGGCGGCGCGAGACGCGGCCCGGCGCCAGTCCGGGAGATCCGCGCGGACTTCCGGTCCCTGCGCCTCGGCCAGCGGCCGCGACCTCTGCCTCGGAGCACCAGCGAGCTGAGGCAGCGGCAAATCAAAAGCGGCCTCGGGACTCGGGCGTGTCCTTCTACAGGCGGAGCTTCAACGAAGGATATGAAACTGTTCCAAAGATGCTCAAAACAAATTGCTAGACATACTAGAACATTCGTCCCCAGACTATGTTCGACTCGTTTTGGATACTCCTCCTGTAGAGGGGCATGCCCGCCTGAACCCGAGCTCCAATCGCACCCCCTTTCCCCGAGCCGCGTCCATAGGGGGCCACATGCGAACCCTACCCCTACCCCCCATGATTTCTGAGGGGGAGGGTGGGGTTCACTTCGTTCGGGAGCTCCCGAGCGGAGTGAACCCCACCCTCCCCCTCAGAAATCGTGGAGAAATCGTGGGGGGTAGGGGCAGGGTTCGCATGCGACCCCCTAGTCCAGCCGTGGCGGCGAAGGCCCCCCCCCGCGCAGGCCAGCCACTGGCGTCTCCCCTCGCCGTCCTCCGACTCCCGCCGCGCGGTCCTCGGCCTCGGCGGGGTCGGCCGCCGGCGAGACGCACTCCGCCTGCGGGCGTGGGGGGAAAGGGGCGGGCGGCGAGGTGCCTGGCGAGGCGCCGCCCATTATCGGGGGGAACGAAGGTCGGGGAGACGTAAGACTCGGGTACGGGGGACGCGGGTTGGCCTGACGGGGTCCATCATAAACATGACGAGACGCAATCTGAAATTTGACGCGACCTCCCACTGCAAACATCCCACGAAAGCTGGACCGTCAAAATCCAGGACGCGCTCGTCAAAAAACGTCGGCAAACCCGAGTTCCGGCTTACCCGAGTCTTACGTTCCCCCGAGAAAGGGGGGATAGCAACGGGCAGGGTGGAGAATCAGCTCTCGTAGCTGACTTTCCCAGCGCCTCCCGGCGCCAGGCCCGGCTGATTTTCCCATGCATCGAGGAACGGGCCCGGCGGCGGGGCCGAAACCAGCTGCATGCAGCAGATTTCGAACCCCCCCTTTCCCTATCCCCCCCAATTCGTTCGGCCCGACCATAGCTCCTGGGAGGCCTGCGCGAGAAGGGTTCGAACCGAGGTTGCGCAGCCCGCAGGAGAGCGGATCACCCTTCCGAGCCTGGCTTTCGCGCTAGCCCCAGAAGGGACCAGGAGCCCTTACCGGGGACATCTGACCCGATGTCCCCCAACCGTGGCCCCTGAACTCAAGTCCTCGTGCAACAGGACACCACGGCAGGCCACACGATGGGCAATTTCGGAAACCCTGCACACAAAAACGTTCTCCTGTCTTCGGGGCGCACCTGTTACCTCCGCCGCCATCCGCCGCCCTTCGGCCGGCTTCCGCCTGCAGCGGCGGCCACGTTGCATTTCCGCTGACCTTCCGCCGCCTCCCGCCGTGACAGAGGAGGAGGAGGAGGAGGAGGAGGAGGAGGAGGAGGAGGAGGAGGAGGAGGAGGAGGAAGAGAAGGAGGAGGAGGAGGAGCTGCCAACTCCTTCGATGCCCGACCTCCCGCCGCGGAGGAGATGCCATCTCCTGCGGTCCTCGAGGGCCAGGCCCCTCTTTGGAACACGCCCTGGGGCCCCGGGGCCCCGGACGCCCCGCGGGTGCGCGCGCGCGCGGGGCCGCCCGGCCAGGCCGCGACGGGAGCACGAGCAGCGGGCGGGGCCTCGCCGAGCGCAGCGCGCGCCTCGCTGCGGGGCGCGCCCGCGCACAGAGCACGCAGAGGCATCCCACTCGCGCGCGCGGTCCCCGCCCTCCTCGCGGCGGCGAGCGAGGGGGGGGGAAGCGAGAAGGAGAGGGCCTGGTCGGGAGGCGGCGGGACCTCTCAGAAGCCCTCGCGCCTTCCGAGAAGCTTCCTGCGTCTTCGGGGAAGGCTCAGGAAGCTTCTCGAAGGGCAGGGGAGCTTCCGAACCTTCTGAGGAGGCCCGCCCCTTCTCATTTCCCCCTCTCGCTCGCTGCCGATCCTCCCCCAGTTGCCCATTGCATGCAGCCGGTAGATCGTTTCGGCCGCCCGCCCCAAGACTTCCCAAGGGGCCCGCGGGAGGGCCCCAAGACAGCCCCAAAGACTCCCGGAACGGCCCTGAAGAGCTCTCGCCATCGCTCGGACATCCATTCCCCGTGTATTTTTGGATTTCGTGCATTTATTCTTTCGCAAGGTGATCCAATCTGCTCCTCGATGGTCCCCGCCGAAAAAGATGCACACGTCCGAGCGATGCTAAGAGCTCCAAGAGGTCCCCCAATCTGTCCAGATCAGTCCCGCAGACGGTATCCGAAGGCGCCAGGCAGTCCGAGAGCAGCCCAAGACGGCCCAAAAAGTAGCTCCAAGGCGGCCCATAAAGAGAGCCTGGAAAGGTCCCCAGGAGGCCCATTTGGCTTCCACAAACCCCAGGAGAGCGGGAATATGACCCCAGCGGGCCTCCGCACGGTTCCCCCCGGTGGTCTCCCGCAGTGTCACCGCACAGTTGCTCGACATTTCACCTTAGAAGCGCTCCCAAAGGGCAGGGGGCGGCAATGATTCGCCATGGGCGCCTTCAGTCCGCCTCACCGC